TTTGCTTGGGGCGGCAGAAATGCTGGAGCCAGCCCTGGCGTGATTTCTTGATCCCTATGATCTTACAAAGTTCTTTTATTACCCGACTTTCAAAATCCTATCCCTGATATGAGTGTAGTCTGGCGGGCAACCCATAGTGGATGAAGAACTTTTCCCACAGGATCTTGGCAACCATGGACGCTTTTTGATCTTTGGTGGGATAAGCCTGGGCATAAAGAGTAAAATGGTCCGTGACCACCAAGATATTTGCAGTACCCCGGCGGTCAGGCTCTAATGACAGAAAGTCCATAAAGACAAGCTCCATGGGTGCAGAACTCGTGATGCTGACAAGAGGAGCCGCTTGCTTAGGCAGAGTCTTTCTTTCATTGGATACATCTGGTGCAGGTGCGAATATGGTGGGCGATGTCAGGCCCCATCTGGGGCCAATAGAATCTTGCCTTAACTAGGGCCTCCAATCGCTCGACTCCCAGATGCCCCATTCGATTGTGGCAGGCCTCTAACATGCCTCGCCGGTACTTCTGCGGTAGCACCAATTGCTTAGGGTGAGGCCTCTGGGGATGCTTCTGCCCTCCGTAAAGTCGTCCATCCTGAACCAATAGGCGATCCCATTCTTTCAGCAAAAGGGCCTCCTCTGGATGACTTGGTCGAATAGCCCTGGGATCCTTTCCCCTTTCCAATGCATAAAGGATGTCCTTCATCCGTGGATCAGCTCGCTGAGCCTGCTCCACCTCTCGATCCTTTAGTTTGGGCAGCTGATGGTCCTGTACTCTAGTAAAACTTGAGTAGACTATGGGTATGGCTTCTGGTGGTGCACCCAGACAGTCAATTGCTCGTTCTCCATTGGCTGTGGATTTTTCCTTCACAATGGATACCCGTTGGCATAAAGCTCTCAATTCAGGGGTCTCCACATTCATTTGATCATTGGGTAATAAATCCTTAGAGTGAGGCTGCCGAGACAAGGCATCTGCATCCATGTTTGTTCGACCGGGTCGATACTGCAGGGTGAAATCATAGGCAGAGAGTGCCGCTAACCACCGGTGCCCTGCTACGGATAATTTTGCTGTTGTCTTGATGTATGTCAAAGGCTTATCGGTTTTTACAATGAACTTGGCCCCATAGAGGTAGTCATGGAACCTCTCTGCGATGGCCCATTGCAATGCCAGGAACTCCACTTGATGAGCAGGGTAGTTTCTCTCAGGCGGTGTGAGACCCCGACTTGCAAACGCTACCGGTCGGAGTTTGCCCTCACGCGCTCGATAAAGGACAGCGCCTAAACCGATGTAGCGTGCATCGACATGACGTTCATATGGCTGGGCGGGATCAGCGTGCACCAAAACAGGGGCTTGCGTGAGCTGTTGAATGATTTTACGGAAAGCTGCTTCACACTCAGCAGCCCACCGCTTTCCAAAAGGTGCACCCACGTTAAAGTACTGATGCCGAGGTGAGTTCCCCTTCTTCTTATTTGTGGGGGGGTATCCCTCGGTGAGCTCTGTGAGTGCATGTACGATGTGCGAAAAATTCTTGATAAATTTGCGGTAATAGCCACAGAATCCCAGAAACCACCGTAATTCCTTGAGAGTTGTGGGCCTTGGCCAGGTGCTTACCGCCTTCACCTTCTCTGGGTCTGTAGCTATACCATCTGCAGACATTATGTGTCCCACATACCGCACGGATGTCTGGCAGAAGATGCACTTGTCTAAGGATAACTTGAGGCCAGCCTGTTCCAAACGATCCAGGACTTTGCACTGCCGAGTCTCATGTTCTTCTAAAGTGCGCCCGAACACTATAATATCATCCAGGTACACCAGACACTCCAATAGGTGCATGTCCCCTACCACCCACTCCATGAGTCACTGAAACGTGGCTGGAGCTCCAGATACTCCCTGAGGCATGCGATTAAATTGGTAAAACCCTAAAGGGCAGATGAATGCTGTCTTCTCCCGGTCCTCTAGTGCCATGGGCACGTGATAGTATCCACTCCGGAGGTCAAGGACAGAGAACCAGCAGCTACCATTCAGGCTATCCAAGGCGTCATCCACCTGGGGCATTGTGTATTGGTCAGGGATCGTCCGCCGGTTCAGAGTGCGATAGTCGACGCACATGCGCACCTTTCCACTTTTCTTTCGTACTACAACGATCGGCGATGCATAGGGGCTCCTGGATTCCTCAATGATACCTGCTTGAACCAGTTCCTGTAGGTGCTGCCTCACATCTTCAATATTAGTGGGGGCTAATCGTCTTGACCTCTCTCGAAAAGGCCGACCATCCTGCATTTGGATATGGTGCTCCACATCATGTGCACACCCAACATCCCATTTGTGCATAGAGAAAACAGCCTTCCTCTTGACTAACGTCTCACTCCTTCCACTCAGCAGGAATGGGGGAAATCCCCAAACTGGAAACTATCCCTCCCAAAAGGTCTAGCCTTGGTCTTCTCTTGGGATGGGGGCCCCCTTGCTCGCTGGTATGCGGCTTTACATAAAGCATGCATTGGCAGCTCCTGCAGATAGTTGTTCTCTGCCATCTCACGGCATTTCCACGCCAATCCCTGGAACAGGTTTGCATTTGTCCCTAGGATTAAAAGGTGCATACTTTCTTCCCTTTGGATCTGGGCAGACCAGTGCCAATGTTTCTATTTCCTGGTTTACCCCCGCAATGTTCTTTGGAAACTGAACATTTAACAGGATATATCCCAGATAGGGGCAGGAGTCACAGCCAATTTCCCAGACTGTCAGGCCAGACAGGGGATGCAAGGGTAAACGCCGCAGGTCTTCTCGGTAGTAAGATTCATAGAGTATGGTGACCTGTGATCCGCTGTCCAGCAATGCCTCACACGATTGTCCTTCTATACGAACGGGTACTATAGCCTGGGGGCCTATCAGCCCATCTGGGTAACCCCTGTTTGTGGTTTTTTCTGGGGAGCCTTGGAATTTCAGGGTCTTGGGTTGCTCCTTCCCCAAGCCCTGTTGGTGTTTCCCTGAAGCTTCCCAATGGTCTGCTGCAATTTCTGAGATACCCTTGCATGATCTGTCTTGTTTTGGCAGTCCAAGGCATAGTGACTATCTCTTCCACAGTTATAACAGAAACCTTCTCGCTGGCTATCACCCCTCCTGCTACTCTCCCCTCTTGAGGATGGCACAGTATGTCCCTGAGCCTTCATCATGGCCACTTCTCGGGTCAAATCTCTCAGTGCTGCTGCCACTGACGGGGCATCTTCCATCTCTCCAAGCACTGTAGTGGTGCGACTCCCTGCCATCTTCGGCTGCACCACTGCATCCACTTGCAACAATCGCTCCTCCTTTTCACGTATCTCTCGAATGAGCTTGTGGAATGGGGGTGGAGTTTGGGCCCGCTCCCTCAGCTGCAGTCACCACAACATCAACCCATCTTGTCGGGTGCCCCGAAGGATTTGGTCCAACCTAGCGGAATCAATGCGCTTGGTGGGGATGCCCTCCTTCCGCACTACCTGCTGTAGCAAATCCTCTAGTCTCCTGATGAAATCCGACAATCGTTCATGGGGCTCCTGATAGGTATGGCGGAACCGATAATACAGGTCTTCACTGCTATCAGTAGTACCGTATGCATCCAAAGAAGTGGGTTGTAGCCCACGAAAGCTTATGCTCTAATAAATTTGTTAGTCTCTAAGGTGCCACAAGTACTCCTGTTCTTTTTGCGGATACAGACTAACACGGCTGCTACTCTGAAAGTAGTACCGTAGACACTCTCAAGAGCGGTTAAATAGTCTTGCACTGTGGCAGCTGGTTGTGAGTCTTTCAGGGCTCAGATAATTCGCATGGCAGGTCCCCTCAGACTTTCAAGCACACATTTCCGCTTCTCAGCATCAGAGCATTCCCACTCTTGGACAAGTGGCACCGTAAAATCCCTCCAGGCCTCGTAATCCTCCTCCCCTGGGGGTACAGGTGACACCCCCGAGAATGAACGTAACCGCTTGTATGGAGCACTTTCATATAACGGCCTCAATGCATCTTTGAGAGTGTTTCCTAGCTCTTTGGCCCATCCCACCAGGCTGGGTGCTGCAGGTGTTGGAGCCCCTCCTAATGCCAAAATTAATTCTTCTCTTGTCCGCTTCTCATCCACCATCAGAGCTTGCAATTTCTGCGCTAAAGAATCCACCTCAAGTGACACAGGCACACTAGGAGGGGACTGCTCTGCCCCCAGAATTGTCCAGGGAATACCTTCTACTTGCACCTCTTTGGGCACTTTATCAAGATCTGTTTCCTTGGAGTGAGTACATAGTGCTACCATGCCCTTCACTTTGTGGTTGTAAATACGGGTGCGGACCTTTACTCTCCCCAGTATTTCAGCTGCATCTAAACTCTTCTCAATTTCATTTGGTTCCATCTCTTCTGGGAACCCCGCCACCAGCACAGCTTTGGTTACTGGGATTCGTGCCCCTCGGCACAGGTCTTCTAATAATCCTCTCTCCATTTTTTTTTTTTTTTTTTTTTTAAACTGAGATGAAAGTCACTCAGGAGTTTCTTTGCTCTGTCAAGAAGAGCCCAGGGTGCACAACGTAGGGTGTGTGTGTGCGT